AAATTATGGAATTCAGAAACTTAACAACAAATGAACTACTCTAACATGTTTGGAGCTTCAATTTTCAACTCTTTAGAAACCCAATAAAAACCTTTCTAAAAATCATAAAATCTTTCAAAAAATTGTGCTCAACTTCATCAGTTTTTGCTGCAAAAATCTGAGCAAAATAGACACTTACTCTACAAAATATTACAACTTAAATGATACATTCTGAGTAATATTTTGAAATTTAACCTCATTAAAGTTTATTTTAGTTTATCCATCCTTCATTATCAACCCAAAAAAAAAACAGATTCCTCCTCCATTACTAATTAATATTTTAGTTCAAAATCTTGCTTGCCTTGCAAAAATTAACACCCTAACTTCTTATGCATATGAATAGGTCACTCCATTTTGAAAAGAAAATATAAGTAATAAAATTTTATGCAAAACATAACCTTTAACCAGAGCCTTTATAAGGGGCATGGTTATGGGCATGCAACAAAGTGTTAAGGTTACACAAATTTTTAAAATATTGTATTTTAAAACATTTAGTTTTATTTGGTTTGATTGATAAAAACAATTGAGAACCATAGATATTAGTTGATAAATAATAGAACAATTGATATCTATCATTTAATAGATTAAAATTAGTTTATACATAATATTTTAAATATCAAAACTAGTTGTTTACAAAAAATATAAATATATATTAAAGTTTTTATAGCCTTAACAATTAGTGTGTAGTCATAATCATGCCCCTTTAATTAGCTTGGTTAACCATTGAAATCTTTTTTCTTTTTTTTTTTGTATTAGCCCCAATATTTAGAAGCCACATTAAGTTTTGACAAATTCGAAATTGAGTCGTGTCAGATCTCATAAAAAGAAGTTCTCGTAACACTTGTCTCTCCATTCACAAAACTTAAATTCAAAGTCTTACGCTTATTTAAAAAAAAAACGAGTTCTTTCCATTAGAACTAATAGATTGTTGATATCACTTAAATCAACAATACCACCTACTTTGGGTAAAAAAGTACACTGTGAAATGGTTAAAAAAAGAAAAGTAATAAATTTGGTCCTAATTTAGTCTTTGTATTTTGTCGTTTTTCTCTGGTTAAATTTTAGCAAAGGAACCCCTGAAATGGTAGCAAGATGCTGCCAGAAAAGGGCGTCTATCACCAATAGAATGGAAACAAGCAGAACATAATAAAAGGCAGCATGAAATCAAATGGGGAACATGAAAAGATAGATGAAGCATAGCATTCATCCTCTCACAGGGTTTAGGACTGAGTCCTATTTGCAATGTGATGTAATTCATGACATCCAACCTCACTATTCAGATTTCAGACATAACCCCACTTCCTTCATAATTACTGTCTTAAACCTCAATTTCATTAATGATCTTCTAATCCATAATTAGTTCTAAACTTCTAGCTTTGTGGAGACATAATATGATCCTTATTAAATATGTAGGAATCATAGTATAGCTGGCAAAAGTTGGTATGGAATAAAGTGGACAAACAATACCATATATCATATGAACCTGGGTTGGGTAAGAATTGGTGGTAAGAATTGATGCAAATCATGTTTGAATCTCTCTATTATCATTTCAATAGAAAAAAATTTCAAAGACACGCTCAGCACCTTTGAGTGGAGTCTTACCGGTGCCAGTGGACGAGATACTTACAAACCTGTAGAACTAGTCAGCCAAAAAATATTTATGTTATAAAGAAAAAAAGGCAACCAATGATTATTTGATTTGAGTGGAAGAAACTCAATTCTCTTTAAATAATATTTTAAATTTGAATCTTATAAATGGAAAAACAAATACTAAAAAAGTTTCTTCTTATGATATCCAACGCGATTTAACTTCAAATTAATTGAGATTTGACGTAATTTATGGATATCAAAGAGTTAGTACAAAATAATAATAATAATAAAGAAAAAAGGCATGCAACAAAGTGGACAAACAATAATTCATTCCCTTTAGTCCTTCTAATTCTTAATGTACAAGTAAAAGTTGCTAGATATGCAATCTGACATGGCCAACATTAAGTAATATTATTATATTTGGCCTAACTTTATCCTCCTTTGGTCTCTTTTTCAGATAAAGGTCTATTTCTTGTTTTATGATTTTTTTTTAATATTTGCTTCATACATAGACACCTTTGACATGAAATTTACAGACCAAATGATAACCCTTTTGGAAATATAACTCCTAACCCCCTCCCCTCCTTCCCTGACTCATCTGAGCAAGCAGCTTAATTTCTTGAAAATTATTACTGGTACAATGCAGATATTTGCAGATGTTGGGCAACATCATCACAAGATTGAAACTACAATAATAGCAAGACAACCATAACCACACACTGACTTTTTTTTTCTTTTTTTTTTTTTAAATTCTCTTCATTGTAACTCCTATATTTGAGAAACAAATATATGAATCCTTATAAAGATGGAATCCTCTCAGCCTTGTGTAAGTGCTGGGATACAACACGCCAAAACAATTCTAGGTTACTGGCTAGCTAGAACGGCAACTTATGGCTGGAAATCACCAAAAGATTAAAAGAAAAAAAAAAATGGTTCATGATTGCAATTTTGAAGTGAAACTTACAAACATGAGAAAGAAGGAAATACTGAGTAGGATTTGTATAACTTATACTTTAAGAGTATAGATTAAAAAAGTATTAATTACATTTTTGTAATAAATTTATATAAAAAAATAAAAATTGATTTTAAATTTATCAATTATTCAATTAAAATCATGCAAGTGGTATTAGTGTTAAAAATAATGTCTTACTTTTATAATTTTTTTTATAAAAATTTAATACAAAATAATAAATTTAATACATTTTAACATATACCTTAAAAGTAAAGGTCAAATAAGTCCTACTAAGTAATAATCTCGATCCTTTTAAAGCAGTGAGCAAACACATTTACCTATCTTAAAGGGAAATGAAGCACTTGTTTTGCTCCTATGAGTTAAATGTCCATATCCCAAGATAGATGCTATGTTTGACATCAAGAAAAAGCTAATTGACGACGTCCACACGGTTACAAGAAATGATCAAAAAACGTTGCCACTCTCTGAACAATGACTTCAGGATAATATCTTGAAATGAGGGATTCCAAAAGAGCCACCTATATTTGGGTTTGTCTAAATCAGACAGTTCTTATACAATGTGAACGAAAGAAAATGCCTATGTAAATTGTGTGATGAAAGGTACAGGAAAAAATGATTGTTTTAATATGTGTCCTTAAAAGTGTATTAATTGATATGAAAAAAATAGAAGTTAAATTTAATTTTATCAATTATTTAATTAAGATCATATACATGTTATTAATGTTAGAAATGAAGTTAATTTTTGTGTCTTCTCATACAAATTAATATAAAACATGTGTAATTAATATACTATTAATATGTGTCCTGAAAATATAAGATAGTCAAAATTTAAAAAAAAAATAATTGAAATCCACAACCAACCATAAAAAATAATTGAAATATCTAAACAGTAATGCTTAAAGGAATAAAATATTAGAATCACAAATAAAAAGTTGGAAATTGTATGCTATGACCTTGATGAAGCATGTCCCCTGAGCAAAGGCTTTTTAAGGCAACAATTAATTATTCTCTGCCGTATTGTATGTTTAGCACACCATCTTTGAACAGCTTGAGTCTTCTAGGCTGAAAATTTAGAGTAAATTATTCATCACTGACATCAATAATTGGGACAAGGTGATTATCAAGAAGAACAAAGAAACGCAACTGGCAGACCAAGCACAAACAAATAAATATAAATATATTATATTAAAATTTTGTCATATGAGAATGGTTTCCAAAGAGTTTCTGAATTCAAAGTGTATGCTCATAAAGTAGCAGGCAGTAGGAAAAGTAAATGAAGTAATAATTTCTAAAATAGTAATCTGTTTGTGCATAAAGAACAACCAAGACCACACCCTTCGTACTGTCATCCAATAACTACTGCCTTGTCCTCCTGAACCCCTACACCATTCTTAACAGATGGCATAACCCGCATCTAAACACAATCAGAAATCTAACAAGTACATGTTGGTACATGAGAAGCTAGACTTATACTTCGGTTGTTGGTACTTGTCACAAACCTTTTTCACACAACATCTTATTTAAAAATATAAATTTTTTATTTTTAATTAATTTTAATTTTTTTATATAATTTTACTAACTTTAATTAATATTTTATATGTTTTTGGGATAGTGAAAAACTAAAAAAAAAATGTACTATTATAGCACAGGATAGCACAATATTGAGAAATGAAGCCTAAAGTTTTTATTGAAGTTAAAATTTCAAACATATAGAGCAATTTCAAGGCTTATGGGGTAAATAATACTGATGTTTTTTCATTCAAGTTTCAATCCTACAAACCAAATTTTCATTAGGATCATCAATTAGCCATCAAAATGAATGCATCAAAAAATATTATGCTACAAAGTTCCTATCATTATCAAGGATCCACATAAGCACACAACCTAATGAACTTCATGTGCATAGGTACTTCGCCACGAGCATAACCGCACGAAGTTCATGCTCTTAGGGACCCATAGATGGCAAGAACCATCCACCCCCCTTCCCTGGCTCTAAAACAAGCAACTTAGTAGGGGGCGCCCAATCAAAACCAGATATCCTATGTATCTAATCTGAAAACAGTGCATGAAAAATACTCATCTCGGACATAAAGAGGAACGAAACAAGATTACAATCACAAACCCATGAATGGCCTTCATGCCCAGATATCATTTGTATATGTGGTAATTGCATCTTAAAAAGAGGTGTTAGAGAAAAGATAGACTGTCTTTAATTAATCACAGTATGGAAAATTACCAGAGCAGATGTTAAACCTTCACTCCCTATAACAATCACAACTTCAGAAACCAAATAGGAAATTGAAAAAGTCCCCTGCCACCCAAATGTTAACATGTCACTAGTTTGACCATGCCGCCCAAGCCTTCCCCTTTAAATTCACCTCGGCCTTTCATTTCCATGAGCTCTTCTATACCTCTCCTTCAGCTTCTTTAGAATAACATTCAAAAGATCTCCATCTTCCTCTATCACTCAAGAAATGGGCTCACCACCTTCTGGCTTTCTGAAACAAAATAACATTTTAGTCTTTGGATTTCTCATGATTTTGGTCTTGTGCTGTATACCAGATAAAAGCAAACGCAACCCCTCTTTTGCTAGAACTCCACCCCATTCAAGTTCCTCTAAGGTTTTCTTATCATTGAGAAAACTAAACCTAGATGGCTACTTCAGTTTTGAGAACTTACACCATGCAGCCGAGGACTTTGGTAACAGATACCATTTCCTCCCATCAGCAGTTCTACATCCAAAGGCGGTTTCTGATATTTCTTCCACAATAAAGCATATCTTTGATATGGGCTCCACAACAAATCTAAAAGTTGCAGCTAGAGGCCACGGTCACTCCCTTCAAGGTCAAGCACAGGCTCATCAAGGAGTTGTTATCAACATGGAATCACTTCAACAACCAAAGATGCATGTTCACGCTGGGCAGCTGCCTTATGTGGATGTTTCGGGTGGTGAGTTGTGGATTAATATCCTATACGAGACTATTAAATATGGGCTTGCACCTAAGTCATGGACAGATTACCTTCATCTGACTGTGGGAGGTACTTTATCAAATGCTGGAATTAGTGGTCAGGCATTCCGGTATGGACCCCAGATCCATAATGTTTACCAGATGGAGGTTGTAACAGGTATATCTAAGCAAACTATTTATATCCACTCATACAGAATTCAACTACATTACACACAGGCTTAAATAAGAGATTCACCATTATTTCAAACAAAAGAAAAGGCAAAATAACATGTATACCCCTTTTGATCTTGTTCTAGTAAGCAGACTTAAAGTGCATAGCATAACCAAATGCTGTATTAATAAGCGAAAAAAGGAAAATATGGAGGATATTTCTATTAGTATTTATAGTTCACTAACATGCAGCCAATATTGAATGACGAAACTGATATTAAAATAACTTATGTTAGCCAAAACATTGGTGCAGGGAAGGGAGAAGTGCTCACCTGTTCAGAGAAGCAGAATCCTGACCTTTTCTATGGTGTTCTCGGTGGCCTTGGGCAGTTTGGCATCATAACCCGAGCTAGAATTTCTCTTGGACCAGCGCAAAAGAAGGTAAACAGAAAAAAACTATCTCAAGGGAATCATGGAAAAATTAAAAAAAACAACAAAAAACAAAACAAAAAACAAAACGAAAAATCAAAAAGAAAGAAAGAAAGAAAGAAAGAAAGGAAGGAAGAAAAGAAAATGCAGGGATTCATTACATTAACACAGAGTACCTCGATAACATTATCTACAATTTTTGACAGGTTAAGTGGATCAGGGTGCTTTACTCAGAATTCTCCACATTTTCTGATGACCAAGAGCATTTGATATCATCCATGAATACATTTGATTACATTGAAGGATTTGTGATAATAAACAGAACAGAGCTCCTCAATAACTGGAGATCATCCTTTGACCCTAAAGACCCAATTCAAGCCACCCAATTCAGTTCAGATGGAAAGATTCTTTACTGCATAGAAATGGCTAAATACTTTGACCCAGATGAGACAGAAGTGAACAAGGTAAGCTCACAAACAAATGTCTTTTGCTATTCCTCAACAGCTTCATACCATTTTTACTTATCAAATGGAACTAACCTCTGGATATCATGGTACAGAAAATTGAGAGATTATTGTCAGAGCTGAACTTTATACCATCTACACTCTTCCTATCAGAAGTTTCGTACATTGAATTCCTGGATAGAGTTCACCTCTCTGAGATAAAACTCCGTGCAAAAGGATTATGGGAAGTTCCTCATCCATGGTTGAATCTTCTTATACCCAAAAGCAGAATTCTAGACTTTGCTAAGGAAGTCTTTGAAAATATTCTTACAGACAATAGCAATGGTCCAATCCTCATTTACCCCATCAACAAGTCCAAGTACTTGATTAAAAGACCTAATCAATTATCATTTACAATTTTCAGAAAATATATTGCTCAATCTTCTTTATTCTCTATGTTGCAGGTGGAACAATGAAACATCTATGGTTACCCCAGATGAAGACATATTCTACTTGGTGGCCTTCCTATCCTCAGCACTTCCATCTTCTGATGGAAAAGATGGCTTGGAAGACATTGTAGCCCAAAACCAACGAATTCTCGATTTCTGTGCCAAGGCACGTATTGGTGGTAAGCAATATTTGCCCCATCACAGCACTCAAGAAGAGTGGGAAGCTCACTTCGGCCCTCAATGGGAAACATTTGTACGGAGAAAGTCTGCCTATGACCCATTGGCAATCCTTGCTCCCGGGCAAAGAATCTTTCAGAAGGCAATACCAATCATGTGATACTGGCTCTCATCGAGGGCAATATTACAAAAATGGCATTTCAGTAGTAAAGATCATTACTTCTAAACCTTTAAATTATTGCCAACTAAATCCCACTCTTCTTTTGCATCCACAAGACTTCAACAGTCGTAAGCAAGATAAAAGGAAGTTGATACAGGAAAACTCAGTTGCTCATTTGAAATCCCAACAACTAAGATATTAGATGGTACAAAAAATGTGGGAGAAGTAGCTCACAAAGGGTGCTTTAAAGCATATTTATTTATGAAGTGCCATTCTAGTTACCATCCTGATATGGTCACTGTCATGCACACAAGATATGATGCCCTTTCTTTTTTTCTAGATACCCAAATAATGCTTTAGTAGAAAATAACAACTGCAATTAGCAAAATAAACAAAACTGATCCAAACAGAATATACCATAGGTAAATGACAAAGCAAGCAACACAACAAGAAAATGCCATACTTTTTGACAACTCACTTATGTAGTAGTGCAGACAAAGCTATTCTGTTTTTTTATGCTTCTCTCCAGCCAAGGCCTGGTCTGGATGGTTCTTCATGTGGTTCTTCATAGTCTTTGGCATCAAGAATTGAAGATTCAAAGTCAGTTGAGTTGCTTGCAACGGGAAGAAAGCTACTTATGTCATCCCTTGCTCCAAATTCCCCAGCCTGAATAACATCATCAGGTGTTATTGAAGCCTCCATATTTACTTCCCCAGTGGTATTGACATTTTCTGAAGTTTCAATTGCATCTTTATCTTTCCAATCAACCTTACTAACCTGTGCATTATTCCTTGGAGAACTTGAAACCAGTGTCGATTCATCCACATGACTGTTGGAATCAGTGTATTCAGTTTCTCTACTCCTGGAATTTTCTTCATCCTTATCTTTAATATCCAAAGTTCAGAAAGCTACAATTTTAAAAAAGGCTGCAAGCACATCCACACAATTTATTTACATTGGAAAAGGAAAGGAAAGAAATGCTTACACTGTAGTTTTATCTATTAAAATTCAACAGAGATCAATTCATTACATGTCCCTTTAAACACTAAAATAAGGCCTCCATCACAGCAGCATTGCAACCAATGTAACTGTTTCAAAATAGCTATCAAAAGCCTAAAAATTACCAAGCGCTTGAACTGTCATCTAAGAAATATCTCACATGGTTGGAGAATTCAAATGCCAATTTTAATCTAAATGAAAGTAAACTGAGAATTATTAACATAACTTACAAGTTGGAGATCTTCCATTATAGATTGCTCAAAGAGATTTGGCAGAAAGAAAGGTAAATTATACTCTTTTAAGTCATGTAAGAATCAGTTTATGCCTAAGTAGTTACCATTTTGGCATTCTGTTATCTCATCAATTATATGCTTTTAAATCAAAATAATAAGAACAAGAACAAACAAACCCTGTGAAGACTAGCATGTATACACTTGAATTGCATCTTTGATGGAATTAATATCATTTTACACCATAAACATAAAGAGAAAGAAAGAAATCCCAAGTGATGCTCAGGATTGCAAAGCAACATTTTTTAATCTAGAAACAGTGAACAACTTCCAAATAATCCATCATTAACCTTTTGATTAAGATGAAATGGCAGGGTATGGATTTCTTGTTAAAAAACGTGGATGCAAGTCAATTCCAGATGAAACTTTAACTGATTTGCATTCCACAGTTTTTCTTCAACTTGCACAAGTACAATGTTTCTTCCTCCACGGGTCTGTCTTCTTAGCAAACCTAAAATGACAATAATGAGTAAAGAATTTAACAAAAGTATATTAATTCAATGACATGGACATTACATAAGCATACAAAGAAAACGAACATACAATCTTCTAACTCAAATGACTCAAAATTCAAAACACATTGAAAGTGCAACCGAAAAACTAAAAGATTAGATTTTTCTTTGGTTAAATCCCAAATTTGGTCCTTCAACTATTGTATGGACCCCTTAGTTGGTCTTTAAACTAAAAAAATTCTTGATAAAGTCCCTAAAGTTTCCAAATTTGATTCCAAATTTGATTCCAAATTGATCACTCTGTTCAAAAACAATTGCCTTATCCCGTTAGTTACTAACATGACATGTGATTGTTAAGTAATGGCCTTTTGTTATCAACTAATGGACACGTCAACTATTTTCTAAAGGAAGGACCAACTTAAAATCAATTTTAAAAATTTTAGAAACCAAATCAATGATTTTTTTAATTTAGGGATCAATTTAAAAGTATATGTAATAATTGAGGGATCAAATTAGAAATTTAACAAACTTTTTGGTCGATGGAAAAAAATCAATTTTCATTCATGTTTTATATAAGGTAAAAACTTACTTTTAGTCTTTTATCTTATTAAATTTGAAGGTTTTAACTTTTTATCTTATATTATAACACTTTTAATCCCTCACCTTATTAGATTTATAAATTTTAGTCCCTCACATATTAAAATCGAAAAAAATAACTTTCACTTTATACTGACTGTTAACTCTGTTAGTTAAAAGTAAATTTTTATCAATTAACAGTCAACTAATAGTCAATTAACAAGATAAACAAGATATTATAAAATTAGTTCCGTTAACTTTGTAAGTTACAAAAAAAGTTTTTATCAGTTAACAATTAACTAATAGTCAGCTAATAAAATTAATAATCAATTAACAAAACTGACAAAATGTTACAAAATGAGGGTTATTTTTTTCAATTTTAATAGGTGATGGGTTAAAAGTATTATAATATAAAGTAATAGGTTAAAACCTATAAATCTAATAAGATGATGAATAAAAAATGTTATAATATAAAGTGAAGAACTAAAACTTTTAAATTTAATAAGGCGAGAAATTAAAACTAAATTTTTGCCCTTGTATAAGGGCAATATATAAAGTTGAGTGCGAACAGTCTAGCAACTAGTTATTCATAAACTTAGATTCACGTTGGATGGCATTTTCACAAACACTAAAATTATTAAAATACCCTTAACGACAGTATTTCATATATTTATTCATTGGGTTCCCTGGCCCTTGACGGGAGAGAAGGGCTTAGGCCATCCCCTAATTCAAAAATAACTATTTAATTCAGTAAAATATTTTTTTGTTATTTATTAATAGTAATTTAGTATATAAAAAATATAATGCAATACAAACTGTATCAAGTTGTACTATATTAACCATTAAATGAGGGTTGAGTTCTTTAATATTAGGGTCCTTATCTAATGGTTTTTGTTTTATAATTCAAACTACATCAAACTATAGACTTAAAATAGTTTAGATACAGAATTCTTATTTAGTAATTTTAATGTCTAGACTATACTTTTAATTTATAATTCAAGTTAAAAACATCAAACTCTTCCTAAAAATACAATTCAAATCCGTACCAACAACCAGTTTCTTGAATACCAAAAGCAATAACCATTTAAAGAACAGCCAATCTCCTTGGCCCAGCACTGCGTACAACATGAAAAGGGAAGCAATAAATAGTATTCTCGCCGCAAATCTGCAACATGAATTCTAAAAAGCTTGAAGTCGAACAATCAGATAGAACAAACACCAGAAATTAATCTACAAATGATGAGGAAAAACAGATTACCTGATGCAATTGGTCGATATCGGATCAGAAGCGTTCTAACGCCACTGCAATGTTCTTTCGCCGCCAAAAAGAGAATATTGTGCTTATGCTTGTATTTACACCTGTTCACAACTGTGTTGACACGTCGTGGTGTTTAAGAAACGCTGTGCCTGTGCTGGTTACTTCTTGGTCGGTGTAATTTTTTTTCAAACTATTTTGCAAGCCAAATTATACACTTGCATTGTTAGAAGAGATGGATTAAGAGCTGTTTTTTTTTTTTTTTTTTTTTTTTTT